TGTGTGTATGTGTGTGAATTTATTGGAGTGTATCTGTATGTTAGTTTATGTAATTTTTGAGTGTATGAATGTATATCTGTATCAGCATGTGTGTGTATCTGTGTGTGTTTGGGTGTGTAGTGAACTTGTGTGTAGTGTGGATCTGTGTGTGGCAGTAGATCTGTTTCTCTGTGTGACAACGTGCATATGTATGTGTGTGGCAATGTATGTGTATATGTGAAAGCACAACTACATGCAAACACCAACACTGTACACAAAAGAATCATCCCTGAATTCAAATACCAACAATGTACATAAAAGTAGCCATACAATCAAACACCAGTGGTACATACAAACACACCATTGCATTCAAACGCTAACAACACACATAAGCATGCCCTCACAGCCAAATGCCAGCATGGCACACAAACTGTCACGTATTCATCCGCTTATAGAAATGTGGTTAATGACATTTACTGTCCACACAGGAAAAGTTGTGCCGAGCAGCAACCTAATCCACAGAAGGGTTAATGCTGAGCAGCAATTATGCAAATGAAACCTGGTAACTGACTTTGGGGTCAAAGGCCGGTTACAGCCTATCAGAACTAAAGGAGGGGTATTTAGGCCCAGTTCTCATTCTGCTCAGTGCCCTGTCGTGGTTTCCCTTGTGGTTCTCCGAGAGCGCGTTCCTGTTATTAGTTTTCTACCTGGTTTTTGACTTTGGCTTTGTTTATTGACTTCTCAATATTCTGGTATCCTGACTCCTGGCTTTCCTCATCACTGCATCCCTTTCTGTGTTCCCTGACCTCGGCTAGTATTTTTGACTATTCTATGTACGTTAAATCCGGCCATTCTAAGGACCGGTAATAAGTTACTTATTTGTCATCCGTGCTATACAGTTCTACGTGATGGATCAAACAGTAATCCTGACACAAACAAAGCCATGCATTCAAACATTAAAATTATAAACACACCCCTACATCCTCAAACACCAGCACTGAACACAAAAATACCCTTCATTCAGGCTCCAACACTACACATACACACACCCCAGCATTCAAGCATCATTATTATATATCTATTAGACATGTGCAATTTGTTTGATTCCGAGTGTACATTCATATGAATTTCATGCAATTCGGACATTTGGATGCTTACAAATGACCAAAGTGCCGAAGTCCCAAAGCGCCGAAGTTCCGACGTGACGAATTTCAGTAGCTTGGAAGTGCTGAAGCGCTGAAGTGCTGATGTGATTTGGATTTCTGAAAAGTGGCAAAACAAGAGAGAGGGAAGGCGAATTATGTGAATGATGACAGGAATCTCGACCAATAAGCGAATTCCTGTTGTGCAGTGTAATGCTTGCTTGCTCAGTCCGGTTTCACACTATTACCTTTCCAACGAAATGAGCAATAGACATGTGCAATTCGTTTTGTTCCAAATGTACATTTGTAAAAATTTCATGCCATTCGTACATTCAGATGGTTACGAATGTTCGAAGTGCCGAAGTTCCAAAGCGCTGAAGTTTAAAAGTGACGACGTTCGGAAGTTCCGAAGTGCAGAACCAAACCGAATGTCATTGGTCTGAATTGCCGAAGCAGTCAAATATATATACTTACCAGAATTTCCGAACCGAACCAAATTTTTTTGCCCATGCAAATCCCTAATACCTATACACAAACTTTCACATACTCTACGCCAGAGGCATAGCTAGAAACCATAGGGGCCTGGTGCAAAAATTGCCCTGCACTCCCTTACACCTTACCGCACTCCCCAGCCCCTCCATTTGTCACATTCACATCACCCCAGCCAATGCACATGTGTTATACACGCCCCACAAGGTGAGTATGGCATGGTTGGAGAGATGAGTATGACAGAATATGAGGGGTTGATGTGATAGGGTCAGTGTGGCAGGGGGAAAGGGGAAGAGTGTGACAGAGTGATGGAGAATGAGTGTGATAGGATTGGGTGGGTGAGTGTGACAGTGCTAGAGAAGGTGAGTGTGATAGGGTGAAATTGGCAGAGCAATGGGAAGTGAGTATGGCATGGGTGAGTGACAGGGTGAAGAGGTACATTCGGTAGGGGTGGCAGTGTGTGTGGTGGGTTGACAGTTACACAGACACACAGGTGCATACACTGACACACATGCAGATAAACAGACAAACACTGACATACATGCAAATACACAGGCACACAAACTAACACACAGATACAGACACACAGAGTGACACACATTCAGATACACAGAATAATACTCATACAGTTACAAACAGTGACACACATACAGATACATAGGGCAGACACTGACATACAGATACACACACACACACACACACATACAGATATTCATACAAGCACACATGCAGATAGACATGTAGACAAACAGATACACATACAGTTACAGATACATACAGAAACACATACATACAAACACAAACAGACACACACACATATGTAAAGAAACACACAGAAAGACAGACAGACACACATACAGACAGACACAGATACACACGCGTTTATGGGCCCATCGGGTGCCCCATGCCGTTATGTATAAATGCACATTATATACGTACAATTCTGCTTGCTGTTTGGCAAAGCAATATGCAATTGCTCTTACTGGCATGAAAATAAAACAAAAACTCTGTTCTTCTTCAATGTCAAATACATCTTATAATATACACCAGGTGGGATCCTGTGCCACTAGCTATCACAATATTTAGGTGCAGCTGCCATGGGGCCCTTCTTGTGAATGCTGTCAGTGCTGGTAATTCTGTCTTGCTGCAGGAATGCTGGAAGCAGACATTTATAGGTGGTGTACTAGGAAGGAGAGTTGAACTCGTGAGAGGGTGAATGTGTCATTGTATGTTTTTTGGGGGTTATTTTTGCATTTTTGTCGGTGTATTTCGGATCTGCGTCTGTGTATCTGTACATATTTGTCAGTATTTGTGGGCCCAGATACACAAACATATGCAAAATGTTTTAGTCACCCTCCTGTTTCCTACCTTTTAGGTGCAGGAGGGTGACTTCCCTGGGGTCCAGGGCCTGGCTCAGACAGAAGACTCCTCTCCTTCTCTTCCCCCGCAGCACATCTCCTGCTCTTCCTCCCTTGCAGCGCTCTGTGTATGCTGGGAGGAAGTGACCGGCTGGGAGGAAGTGACCCTACGACTTGCAGTGACATACTCCAAAGTGTAATTAAAACGTAAAGGAGAATATAGGGGAATAGGTATTGAATAGAGTTGAGCGGACACCTGGATGTTCGACCAAACTTTGAAAAAAAGTCCGGATTCGTGATCGAACTTGACCCCGAACCCGAACCCCATTGAAGTCAATGGGGACCCAAACTTTTGGGCACAAAAATGCCTCTAAAAAAGTACTGGAAAGGGCTAGAGGGTTGCAAAAGGAAGTAAAATGGGGGTAAGAGTAGGACAAGTGCCCTGCAAACAAATGTGGATAGGGAAATCACTTAAAATAACATAAAAATTAAAAATACAGTTAAGCCCTAAAATAGCACTAGATGAAATCTTTGATTTTAGCTTTGGAAGAACATAAATCAAAATCTAAAACATGGCTGTCAGGAGGATCAACAGAATTATCCATTAGAGAGAGGGTTGGAGTGCAAGGTATTCTCTTTCATTGTTCAAACTGAGCTCAACTCCTGATGCATGGAGAAAAGGCCTTCACAAGCCTCTGCTATTGTGTACATAGTTTATACTACGTGACCAGGGCCGGACTGGGAAAAAAATTCAGCCCGGGCATTTTTTTATCACAGCGGCCCACTAAGAAGGGGGCGGGGCAGAGAGGGTGTGTTTTGTCATCACTCATGACAAACACGCCCCCTCTCAAAGTGAGCATGTTGGTTCAATGCTCTTCCAGGGCAGACCATGCGCAGAGCTCTGCTGAAGAGCTCTAGCATGAGAAAAAAGCCCTGTATTTGTTCTGCACAGTGCAAGCAAATTTAATAACATGCTTGCACTGTTTCCTTGCAACTTGTCTCTGGTGTCTCTATAAATGGATACCAGGAGACAAAAGGGCCAGGAAAGAGTATTGTGCATGTGTTTGGAGCCTGTTTGTGGTATTACGTTTGTGCAGAGTGAGCTGGTCATGGTGTGGTATTGTGTAATAAGGTCTGTTTTAGTCGTGTTGTGTTTGTGGTGTAATGTAATGCATATGTGGCTAGGGGCTGTAGAGAATGTGTGTATAGGGGATGTAGCAAGTGTGTGCATACAGGCTACAGTGTGTGTGTGTATAGGTGATTTAGTGTTTGTAGAGAGTGTGTGTTTGCTTACAAGGAATCTAGTGTGCATAAAGGGGATCCAGAGTGTGTGTGTGTATATGATCCAGAGTTGGCTAAAGGATCTAGTGTGTGTCTGGAATGTAATGTGTTTAGGGGTGCAGTGTGTGTGTGAGGGGTGTTGTGTGTATGTGTATATATATATATATATATATAGTTTATATAAATATGTTTGGAAGTATTGTGTATGTGTGTGATGCAGTGTATTGGGGGTTGTGTGTGTATGTGAGGGGTGCAGTATGTGTGTGTGAGGTGTGATGTGTGTGAGGGTGCTGTGTGTGTGAGGGTGCTGTGTATGATGTGTGTGAGAGTGTTGTGTGTGTGATGTGTGTGAGTGCTGAGTGTGATGGTGCTGTGTATGATGTGTGATGTGTGTGAGAGTGATGTGTGAGAGTGCTGTGTGTGAGTGTTGTGTGTTATGTGTGTGAGTGCTGAGTGTGATAGTGCTGTGTATGAGTGTTGAGTGTGATAGTGCTGTGTATGATGTGTGTGAGTGCTGAGTGTGATGTGTGTGAGAGTGATGTGCCTGAGTGCTGAGTGCTGTGTGTGAGAGTATTGTGTGATGTGTGTGAGAGTGCTGAGTGTGAAAGTGCTGTGTGTGAAAGTGCTATGATGTGTGTGAGAGTGCTGCGATGTGTGAGATTGCTGTGTATGATGTGTGTGAGAGTGCTGTGTGTGAGAGTGCTATGATGTGTGTGAGAGTGCTATGATGTGTGTGAGAGTGCTGCGATGTGTGAGAGTGCTATGATGTGTGTGAGAGTGCTGCGTGTGATGTGTGTGAGAGTGCTATGATGTGTGAGAGTGCTGCGCTGTGTGTGAGAGTGCTGTGTGTGAGAGTGTTGTGTGTTGTGAGTGCTGGGTGTGATAGTGCTGTGTGTGATGTGTGTGAGAGTGCTGAGTGTGAAAGTGCTGTGTGTGAGAGTGCTATGATGTGTGTGAGAGTGCTGTGTGTGAAAGTGCTATGATGTGTGTGAAAGTGCTGCGTGTGATGTGTGTGAGAGTGCTGCGTGTGATGTGTGTGAGAGTGCTGAGTGTGAAAGTGCTGTGTGTGAGAGTGCTATGATGTGTGTGAGAGTGCTGTGTGTGAAAGTGCTATGATGTGTGTGAAAGTGCTATGATGTGTGTGAGAGTGCTATGATGTGTGTGAGAGTGCTGCGTGTGATGTGTGTGAGAGTGCTGAGTGTGAGAGTGCTATGATGTGTGTGAGAGTGCTGAGTGTGAGAGTGCTGGGTGTGAGTGCTGGGTGTGATGTGTGTGAGAGTGTTGTGCGAGTGCTGAGAATGCTGAGTGTGATAGTGCTGTGTATAAATGTTGTGTGTTGGGGGGTAAATAAACAAATAAAAAATTAAGTGGGGGTAAATATATAAAAAAAATAAATAAAAACTAAGCAAAAAAAAAAACTAAACCCCCCCCCTCCCTTCTTACCTTTAGCCTGGGAGGGGGGGACAGGCACGTGGTAGCTGGGAGGGGGGGCACCGGCACTCACACACCATCCCTGGTGGTCCAGTGGTGAGTGAACTGTCTCGCGAGATCGGGGCGTTGCCATGGCAACGCTCCGGATCTCGCGAGAGAAACCCGGCGGAGCTGCAAGACAGAGCTCCGCCGGGTCCTCTCCCTCCCTCCCCAGCCGCAGGTCTATTTAAATGGGCCGGTGGGGGAGATCTTTGATCTCCCCACCGGCCCTCCATGGAAGACAGCGGGGCCGGCGCTCGGATAGCGCCGGCCCTGCATAGACCGGCAGGGGAGATCCTGGGACCTCCCCTGCCGGCCTCGGCCCCACGGCCACCGCGGCCCACCGGGCATTTGCCCGGTGTGCCCGATGGCCAGTCCGGGCCTGGTTTCCATTTAATTCCAGGACAGAGTTACATATGGTTCTGGAAGAGGAAACACCTTTAGTTGCATTAAAGAAGACACCAGCTCAAGGTTTATTTAACCCTGCAATGTAAACATTGCAGTTTCTACAAAGCTGAAACTTTGGCCAACACTATTAAATAACATCTAAATTAAATAAAGGGCAGTAGATACACAGAAAATAACAAGGATTAAATTGTTTGGTCTACTTCAGTGCACTAACATAGTGTGACATTGCTCTGTTCATTTCTACTGTCACAATGCTGGGAACAAATTGATTAATTGGCTTTTTTGATCTTCAAGAGGTCAAGCTTGAAAGTTGCTTTCATAATTAAGAATCAGAAACTCTTGTGGATTATCATGCTTAATGGATTAACATTTTATTCATTTTAATATTTGAGAGGAAAATCATAGGAAAGGTTATTTTGAGTCGATGTGAAAATTTTTGTGCAATATATTTAACTTTTTTATAATATCAACACAATTGAATGCATGAAATGATTATCAACTTTTCTAGCTTGATCCATAGAGTCAAATAATTTCAGGTAAGAAGTCCAGATCCCCTCATTTATAAAGACTCATGGAATTACTAAAAAACATCTTCAGTACTTCATTGTGCACACATCATAATAGTGATTTATATAGTTTAAAAAATAAGGGGTATTGTAGAGTGTTAATAAACAAAAAAAAATATAGATGTAGATTTTTATGTTCCAAATATTGGTCAAAAGTAGAAGATGGGGAGTCACAAATGGAATGTGCCTACCAGTTCTAGTGGTTTCTATGATACAGCGAGGGGAAAAAGTATTTGATCCCCTGCTGATTTTGAATGTTTGCCCACTGATAAAGAAATGATCAGTCTATAATTTTAATTGTAGGTGTATTTTAACAGTGAGAGACAGAATGATGAAAAAAAAAATTCCAGAAAAACGCATGTCAAAAAAGTTATACATTGATTTGCAAAACCCTTGTTGGCAATCACAGAGGTCAGACATTTCTTGTAGTTGGCCACCAGATTTGCACACATCTCAGGAGCAATTTTGTCCCACTCCTCTTTGCAGATCCTCTCCAAGTCATTCGGGTTTCGAGGCTGACGTTTGGCAACTCGCACCTTCAGCTCCCTCCAGAGATATTCTATGGGATTAAGGTCTGGGATGGCTAGGCCACTTCTTTGTTGCCTTGGCTGTGTGTTTTGGGTCATTGTCATGCTGGAATACCCAGGCACGACCTATTTTGCATGCCCTGGCTGAGGGAAGGAGGGTTTCACCCATGGTACATGGCCCCTTCCATTGTCCCTTTGATGCCGGGCAGTTGTCCTGTCCCATTAGCAGAAAAACAACCCCAAAGCATAATGTTTCCACCTCCATGTTTGACGGTGGGGATGGTGTTCTTGGGGTCATAGGCAGTATTTCTCCTCCTCCAAACACAGCGAGTTGAGTTGATGCCAAAGAGCTTGATTTTGGTCTCATCTGACCACAACACTTTCACCCAATTCTCCTCTGAATTATTCAGATGTTCATTGGCAAACTTTAGACAGGCCTGTACATGTGCTTTCTTGAACAGTGGGACCTTGCGGATGCTGCAGGATTTCAGTCCTTCACGGCGTATTGTATCTGTGTGTGTTTTAGGGTATGTATCTATGTGTCTGTGTATCTGCATCTGTGTCAGAGTATGTATCTGTGTGTCAGAGTGTGTATCTATATGTCAAGGTATGTATCCTCAAGTGTGTTAGTGTATGTATCTATGTGTCTGTGTATCTGCATGTGTGTCAGGGTATGTATCTGTGTGTCAAGTTATGTATCCTTAAGTGTGTCAGTGTATGTATCTATGTGTGTGTATCTGCATGTGTGTCAGTGTATGTATCTGTATGTGTTTCTGTGTGTCAGGTTATGTAACAGTATGTCTGTATCTGCATGTGTGTCAGTGTCTATATCTGTGTCAGTGTCTGTATATGCCTGTGTCACTGTATCTGTGTGTCAGTTTCCATATCTGTTTGTCGGTGTGGGTATCTTTGTCTGTATGTGTGTCAGTGTATGCATCTGTGTGTCATTATGTGTGTCAGTGTCTGTATCAGTGTATCTGCATGTGTGTCAGTGTATGTATCTTTGTGTCAGGGTATGTATCTGTGTGCATCTGTGTGTCCGAGTATGTATCATTAAAGGACCACTATAGTGCCAGGAAAACATACTCATACTCATACGGCAGGAGCCTTGCGCGCATTTAGCCAGTTCATGTGGAAGCATTCTCAATGCTTTCCTATGGACGCTGGCGTCTTCTCACTGTGAAAATCACAGTGAGAAGCGTGGAAGCCCTCTAGCGGCTGTCAATGAGACAGCCACTAGAGGCTGGATTAACCCATTTATAAACATAGCAGTTTCTCTGAAACTGCTATGTTTATAGAAAAAAGGCTTAAACCTAACTGGACCAGGCACACAGACCACCTCATTAAGCTGAAGTGGTCTGGGTGCCTATAGTAGTCCTTTAAGTGTGTCACTACATGTATATGTGTGTCTGTGTATCTGCATGTTTGTTAGTATATGTGTCTGTGTGTGTATCTGTGTGTCTGTGTGTCAGGATATGTGTCTGTATGTGTGTCAGTGTATGTATCTGTATGTGTGCCAGGGTATGTATCTGTTTGTCAAGGTGTGTGTCGAGGTATGTATCCTAAAGTGTGCCAGGGTATGTATCTGTATGTGTACCTGTGTGTCAGGGTATGAAACAGTATGTCTGTATCTCCATGTGTGTCAGTGTCTATATCTGTGTCAGTGTCTGTATCTGCCTGTGTGTCACTGTATCTGTGTCAGTGTCCATACCTGTATGTCAGTGTGGGTATCTCTGTCTGTATGTGTGTCAGTGTATGCATGTGTGTGTCATTGTGTGTGTCAGTGTCTGTATCTGTGTATCTGCATGTTTGTCAGTGTATGCATCTTTGTGTCAGGGTATGTGTCTGTGTCAGGGTGTGTGTCTGTGTACCTGTATGTGTGTGTCTGTGTACATGCGTGTGATAGTGATTTATTTTGTCTGTATCTGTATGTTTGTGTATAATTGTTTCTGTGTGTCTGTGCATCTGTATGTATGTGAGTGTGTGTATCTGCATGTGTGTCTGTGTATCTGTATCTATATGTGTGTCAGTGTTTGTTTCTGTGTGTCTGCATATGTGACAGTTTGTGTGTCTAGTCAGAGGAGAAGCAGGGAGAGCCTGGGGCAGAGTAGAAGCAGGTAGAGTCTGGGGCAGAGGAGAAGCACTGAGTTTCTGTGGAAGAGGAGGACTATGGAAGTTCTGGGGCAGCACAGAGAGTCTGGGGTGAATGAGAAGCAGGGAGAGCATGATGAGGAGGAGAAGCGGGGAGAGCATGGGGCAGAGGAGAAGCAGGAGGAACCTGGGGAAGAGGAGAATTATAGGGAGCCTAGGGCAGATAAAAAGTGGAGATTGGACAGAGAAAAATGTATACATTTGAAATAAAGGCAACTATATTAATTACAACATTTTGCTAATGTGAGGAGCATAATTTATTGAAATGGGCTGCCAAGGGGTACTCAAGTGAAAAAAAAAAAGGTTGGGAACCACTTCTCTAGATCTTCAACGCTTATCAGTGATATATCTTATGTCACAAGAGGCACATCCATGATGTCCTGGTCTACTGACAGTAATTCAGTCAGCTTGGTTTGCCTACATGCTGAGCTAACACATGTAATTTAGCAGCCTATGAATCAGGAACCCACATACATGCAGATTACTTATATAGTTAAAACTCATTTATAAATAAAAAAAAATAAAATGAATAATAATTTATAAATAAATGAGTCAATGAAGTGTCCCAGAATTGTCCTAAGCACTATCATTCTGTTCAAACTGTACTTTTGGTATATCCTATCTATAAAACAAAAGAATAATCCAGACAAGAAGGACAGAGGCCATTTATCGGAACTGTCCTACTAGATTTGGGGTGGTTGGTAGTCATGGTCCAGTTTAGGGACTCTGCTAAGACCTATGGTCTCTGTATATGACACCTGGCTTTTCCTTAGTCCTCCTGATGACCCGAGAAGCCAGTTCATCTCCTGTTGGGAAGAAACAGTGCTAATGCATGACTTTGTTAATGCTGGACTTTCAATAAGTTTCAGGGAATTTAGGCCTTCAGCAATGCTCAGCAAATAAGCAGCCCACTTTTGTGGGAAGACACTTTGTCCTTTACACTATGTTTTGTCATGGACATGTCCATCCACAGTCACACCCTTGCCAACCCCCTCCTGATATGTCTTGAATCATATGTAACCGGTTTTAAACTGGAATTTTATCTCGGTGTAGAACCCAGAGAATGGATGGTACTAAAATAAGGACATTTTCTGGTATGATATGTTTTTTTGCTTTGTTATTTCA